AGTGGAACACATTCACATGAGTAGAAGAGCAACTAAGTGTGAACCGGAACATCAACACATGCTTGAACTTGACAAAGAACTAGTGGAACACATTCCCATGACTAGAAGAGCAACTAAGTGTGAACCGGAACACCAACACATGCTTGAACTTGACAATGTGACGATTGAACTAGTGAAAAGCACATGCACATGAAGGAAAGATCAACTAAGTATGAACCAAAACACTACAAAACACATGAACTTGACAATGAGAAGGTCGAACTAGTGAAAAACACATGCACATGGAGGAAAGATCAACTAAGTATGAACCGGAACACTACAACACTTACGAACTTGACAATGAAAAGATTGAACTAGTGAAAAGCACACAGACATGGAGGAAAGATCAACTAAGTATGAACCGGAACACTACAACACTCACAGTCTTGACAATGTGAAGATTGAACTAGTGAAAAGCACATGCACATGGAGGAGAGATCAACGAACCGGATCACTACAACACTCACGAACTTGACAATGTGAAGATTGAACTAGTGAAAAGCACATACACATGGAGGAAAGATCAACTAAGTATGAACCGGAACACCACAACACTCACGAACTTGACAATGAGAAGATTGAACTAGTGAAAAGCACATGCACATGGAGGAAAGAGCAACTAAGTATGAACCGGAACACCACAACACTCACAAACTTGACAATGAGAAGATTGAACTAGTGAAAAACACATGCACATGGAGGAAAGATCAANTAAGTATGAACCGGAACACCACAACACTCACAAACTTGACAATGAGAAGATTGAACTAGTGAAAAACACATGCACATGGAGGAAAGATCAACTAAGCATGAACCGGAACACCACAACACTCATGAACTTGACAATGAGAAAATTGAACTAGTGAAAAGCACATGCACATGAAGGAAAGATCAACTAAGTATGAACCGGAACACCACAACACTCACGAACTTGACAATGAGAAGATTCAACTAATGAAAAGCACATGCACAGGGAGGAAAGATCAACTAAGTATGAACCGGAACACCACAACACTCACGAACTTGACAATGAGGAACGAGCGTATTATACTTCCTTCCACCTCTTTCTTCACCATCTCCCTCGTCCTCGTCTTCGTCACTTTCTTCTTGGTGTTGATGTCAGCCTTTTCCCGTCCTTCTCTACCTCCTCGTGCTCCCTGTTTCACTAGCGCAGCCCATATCTGCCCGCAGCCCGAAACTAAAAAAAAAGTGAAAAATAAAATAATATAATAAAAAGGTCCGGGGCGGTTCAGACTCACCTTGATTTATTTGAATCCTTTTGCAGGGGCTATGCTAATCTTCTCTATATGATTCAATTTTTAGCGGATGTCCCAAAGGACAGGGGCAAGGAAACAACTCTAGAATAGCATCATGGGCCTGGCCAGTCCCAGCTAATTCAGATTTTTTTATTTTTTTTTCGTTCATCTGCTGTCATCTGGATTCGAACTCAGGTCTCTATTTCAACAGCTAATGGGTGTTCCAACTGAGCTAGGCCCATTGATGCTTGTCCCACAGGCCTATTTTCAGCAGTTTGTGGTTGTACCAACAGAGCTAGGTCTGCAACTGCTGGTCCCACAAGCCTATTTTCAGCAGTTCACGGGTGTACCAGTTGAGCTGGGTCCGCGGCTGCTATTCCCACAAGCCTGTTTTCAGCAGTTCGCGGGTGTACCAGCTGAGCTAGGTCTGCAACTGCTGGTCCCACAGGCCTATTTTCAGCAATTCGCGGGTGTACCAGTTGAGCTGGGTCGCAGCTGTTGTTCCCACAAACCTATTTTCAGCAGTTCGCGGGTGTACCAGTTGCGCTGGGTCCGCAACTGTTGTTCCCACAAGCCTGTTTTCAGCAATTCGCAGGTGTACCAACTGAGCTGGGTCCGCAGCTGCTGGTCCCACAGGCCTTCTCACACCCAACCCTCTCACTTTTCACAGCAGGCTGAGGTGAACGGGCGGTATATCCCCTGGCCAGGGCTGCACAGGCTTCCACCACCCCACAGGTGCTGGTGTAGATCTTGGCGGTAGTAGCAAATATTCAAATGAGAACTTTGAAGGCCGACGTGGGGGTGGGTTGCATATCACCTGCTGCTGGGATAGCCTGCTGCACAGCCAAAACTTAGGCAGCCTCCCACTGGTGCCCCCTGGCCCCTCTGTAGCAAATCTTTAATTGAGAACTTTGCAGGCCGAAGTCGCCTGCTGCTGGGACAGCTCGGGCCGCGCAGCCAGCACTGCGGCAACCTTTTACCGGTGGCCCTTGGGCCCGCCCAGACATAGTTCATCATCCTACGTATCCCAGCGGGCACGCTCACACTAAAACCTGTCACAGCAAACCGTGATTGGCGGCCGGTGCGCCCGCAACGACCCTCACCACGAAGGTTTCTTTCAGCCTCGTGGGCTAATTACCCACCGGCTCGCATGCACATTGATCTCCCCGGTCCAAGTATCAAGACAGGTAGACAGAGGAATTTTTGCCAGCATCCAAGACACGCCAGAACCCAAGCGGCCTGTCGAAAGAGGCGCGTGATCAAGGTCCTCGACTGCCGTAATGGCCACCCGTGTCCGGCAAAGTAGTAGCCGAGCCAGGCCCGGGTGCCCGACGTCGGTCTCGGACCCGGCCACCGGGTCAAAGATAACCGTAAAAATAAAAGTAAAATAATAAAATTAATAAAAATAAGAACAAATGCGAGGAAACAAAAAAGTAACGGGGCGAGGGGCCGCACGTCCCGCTGGCATGTGACGCCCTTGTCGGGACTGGTGGGTCCCGAATAACTTCCCAGCACTCGAGAGATTGAATACGGACAATTTGTGCACAACAGAGAAATCTGGAGTGAGGAAGCAGGAGAGAGAAAAGAC